GATAGTTCTAACCCCCTTACATTTGTCATCCTCCTTCCCGTCTTATGCAGGTTTTCCCAAATGATACCACATCAAGTACTGTCTATTGACAGTATAGAGTACAGTCTAGAATTATTTTTTTTTTCCCAAAAAGACCTCTTTGGTTATCCTAGCACCATCACTATCTGCTAAACCCATATCACACCATGTTCCAGTTTACACTCACTGGTGTCTCCTGGTAGTGATTCCTTCAACAATTTTTCTAAAGCCACAGTTCAAGCTTTCACAAAACCAGAAGTTCCAAGTTCCTTGCGCATCATTCTTCTGTAAAACAGGACAACTAACTTTTCTTTCTCCCACCCTTTGTCTTACTTAGTTTCCCAAGGCCAAACTGGTCTCCCACAAGCACAGAGAAGTCCTGATCCTGGTGGTACCATAGTTCTGACAGGAGCAGCGAGCAATTATCTGAGCATCTAGACAAATCCCTTGCTGAGAAGGCAAAATGTCACTTCAAGATACCAACTTGAGCGCTACTTTTTCTTCAGCTTTCAATCTTCTCCCTTTTGCTACTCCGACATTTTTCTGATGGTGCCAAATACTGAAAATTTCCCTCTGAAAAAAATGTCCAGGCATGAGAGAGGACACAGAAACAGAGCAAGAGTAAAAACCCGCACCACCTGGCATGAAAGGGGAAGGATGTATAAAGCTGCCAGTGCCAATGCCTGTCAGATTTAAGGAGTCACTTCCCAGAATGACATGCTGGATGAAAGCTTCTTGGAAGAACAGTACTGTGCAGAGGACAATATAGACTGCGCAGTCCCAAAGGCAGATGTTATTTTCCATGGGCTCCTGCTATTTCATGGCGAGTGCTTTCATCATAGTTCCCCTTTATAAATAGCTCTGTAGAAATTAATGCTCTCCAAGTTACTTACAAAAAAGAAATTACTTCATCAAAACAGAACATCTCTGTTTGACAGAACTATTAAGGGTCCATGTCCTTCACTTTCTTTATCCTTCATAAAATATTTTACTGGGTTTTTAAATGAATTTTTAAAATGTGATCTATTGTACTTCAATTGTAGATGAGCTACTAAGGCTTAAAGTAGTCATCTCTGTTGGACCTTTTCAAGATTACCCTTTCAGTATCACTCATTATTGAAACCGTTTTAAAACAAACTTTACCCTGATATTTACAAAAATCATTACTCTACTATGAAGCATCCTGCCTTCTGAAAGGACTTATCTAGGATTAGTGGATGGACCGTGCTGTGTTGGGGCAGGTGGCTGCAGTGTCAGGGTATATGCAAGCTCTTTGATGACTCCATGATTGGTACAGCTTCACCGCTGCTCTCCTGCAGCACAGCCGTGTGGTGCATTCATGTACATTAGATTTAGCAGAGGTTAATCATCCGCACAACCATTGTTTCCTTCTGTGGGTTTGCCTCGAAACCTTTGACGTTCTTTTTATTGTACCTCTTGCTGTGCAAATTTCCTTGTTTTGTTTTGCTTCTCAAAGTAATTTTTGGTTGATTATTGTGTAGTTACAGAATTAGAGTAATAACATCTAATTGTACATCTGAAGCAAAAACATGTAATTGTGGGAGACTAGATTCAATTTAAAGAAAGAAAACCCTTCCACCAGGGTTTCTCATGGTTTGCACAGTGCATTTGCCAGGCAGTGCTGCTTTGATTGCATCTAACCTGCAATTAGCATGTGCAATTAAGACATAATGAATGTGTGCAATTGCATTATTTCAGGATGTAACAGTAGCAATATTTAGCAGTTACTGTACTAGACACAGTGCTTATAAGCTCAAATGATTTATCAGCACTTAGCAATTATGCCACAGGAAGGAGGGCATGCATGTGAATGGGCCTTACCTACAGCTGATTTCCAGGATGAACACACTTCACTCTCCCACTGAAAGCCCATGGAAGTAGCCAACAGGGAAGAGAGGCTGGACAGATCTGGCACTGTTGAAAACAGGGGACTCAAATGACACTTTCAGCTTACCTTTGGCTTGTCACAGAGCTCGTATGTGACATAATAGGAGAAAGCAGACTGAACATTTAGTGTTTTTGAATTATCCTCTGACTTCAACATTTCATATCAGTTCTGTAAGCCAAATCATGGTACCCAAAGATTTAAAAAATAAAAATTCTTTGAGCATGAACTAATTCTTTGATCTGTGTGTATGAGGAAGCCTCAGGCACATAACAGGTTTTTACATGCTCTTACCTGACATTCTGGGAATGCAACTCTACCAGTTCTACCTGGCTTTTCTTAAAGGACATTTCTTGTCCTTTAAGGGTCAAATGATATTTTAAAAGCATTTCAATGCATCATTGAAGGATACAAATGAAAATTCATTTCAATTCAGTCTCCCAGAAATAAAGATAAATCTGAATTTCTCTAGGCACAAACCTTGAGTAGATAAACTGAGATGTTCTGAGTGCCAAACTGCTGGTGTTGAAATGAAAGATCCCAGTGATAAAATTCAGGGCCCAATCCAGAAAGGGTTTCCAGTTAAATCCGTGTGAGTGAGAAGCACTAAGATCATACACAACTAGAGTCTATTGACTGGTATTAATCTATCATAGAAAATCATATTAGAAGTCTTGAGACAAGGACTGCTTGTTCCAGGCATGATGATTTGTGTGAGTGATTTTGCACATGGACCCAGTCCAAAGTTCTCACAAGACACATCCATACAGCTAAGAGCAAAAACTGCCTCAGCATCTCTTCTGTCTAAATATCTCCTTCCTTTCCTATTGAAAAAAAGATTAGTAGAAGTAGACACAAGAAATTACAAACAGACAGTGGATCAGCTTCTACAGACTTCCAGAATTTGGTTTAGCATCTTGAGAGATGGTGCTTGTCTGTAACTAGGAGAGGGAACTCATGGGCCAATGTTACTAGTTAGAATAGTAAGAAAATAAATAAAATGGCCATTTCTGCAGACAGCTTAGTTTCTGCAACTGAAAGGAAGAGGAAGATAAATTGTGACACGTTTTCATCCAAGATGTTTATTAAAGATGATATGGGCACAGCACACAGATAAACCACATCCTGAAGCAGGGTTAAACTAGGTTTCACATTTTAAAACCGTGCTGGCAGTTTGTTGTTTCTATCTGGAGTGCTCATAGGTACCTTCTTTATATATATCTCTGCAGTTTTAGACTGACAAATGACAAACACAGCCTTCATTTTTAACGGTGTCATTTACTTCACTTTTTATTAAAATCACCAGCTACAAAATAGACATTTTGTACATACTACTCCTAAATAGGCAATGAGACCATCATATTGCACACCTGGGACGTGATAAGGGGTCAGAAATAATAGAAAATGTATGATGATTAGATAAAGTACTCGCATCACACTGGAAGGTTAACCTATACCTTTGAAGAAATCAGCGCACATGTTGATCAGAGACCTATTTTCTGCAAACATTAAAGAAGTTCCATTTTGCTCTCATTTAAAAAATAGTATAGCCAGTACTGCTACAGAAAGGAACTGTTACTTCCGTCTGACATGTGCCATAAGTGTCACAGTATCTGGAAACAGAAATGCGCTAACATGAAAAGAAACAAGACAGTAACACTTTTATTGATAGCAGTGGTGTCACAAAACACCACGGACCACATTCTTAGCTGATGGAAGGTGACATAGCTCTCCTTGAATAACAAATCAAGTACCCACCAAGAATCTGGACTGTAACCAAAACATCCTGACACTATATTCTGCCTTTCCCTTCAAGGTCAAAAAAGAGAAGGACAAGGGGTAACAGTCCGGTCTAACTCAAGAAGAAACAGCAAAGTCATCCCATCCATCCAGCTCCCCTTGTGTACTCTGCACTCCACCCAGAGTGGCTGGGGAGCTAAATAAACCTTATGGGCCTTGAATTTAGTTAGGGCTTTCCAAGACCCTGATAGCTGGTACAGCCAGAAGCACAAGGCAATAAATGTTAAAATGCTCTGTGGGTATTACAGGACAGAATCCAGGGGCCACACTGTGATATTCACTTTTATATTAATATCAATGTGGATTTTGGCTTAAAGTCCAGTGGATCACTATAACAGCACAAGAATATTCACTTCTAGGACACTGTTAAAGGCATCTGTCAAGTGCCGCAGGGTGACTCTTGCTCCTATCTACTGTTCTGATAGTGTGACCTCCTTGGTTATCATGACCTTGTTAAACTTTCCACACCATCATCCTGGAGATTGGAAGTAGGAATGTCACGCAATGTTGGATCCTAATACAATGTAGGAAATAAAAACAAGAAAGCATTATGTTTACAGACAGCTTTCAACAGGACAGAAAACATTATAGCAGTAAGGTCCATATTGGTCAGTGCTACCTCAAATACAGAATAAGGAACAAACATCAAAACATTAAAGTTAAGTAGATGTTGATTACATGGTGAAAGACATGGTTATTTCCACTAGTTTGCTGCAAGAATGTCACCCCAAGAAATACATTTCTATCTTTATAAAATAGATCATTTTATAGAATAAAAACAGATCAAAACTATATTGTAATTCTTAATGCAAAGACAAAGTTTAGAACTTAATTTTGCAACTTAAGATTGACCAAAAATGTTCAAGCTGTTCATATCATAAACACAGGTAGACCTTCGCTGATCACCACCACCTTAATTTCAGTGCCAAAATATAAATTATACACTGATAACATAAGACTGAGTCATCTCAAATCTGTAGGAAAATACAGACAATGACAAATAAGTAATTTTGCTATATTCTTAATATATATATAGTCACCATGCATAAAAAATACACATCTTTCAGGTAAATATATTTTTTTCTTGTTATAATTTTAAAGTGCATCTAAAAGCTGCTAAATAAATCTTTACACTTTAAAAACAGAGGAAGGTGAACAGCAGTTCAGAAATTATAGGTAACTCTTGTTAACAAAGAGATAAGAAGTTCTAAGTGCTCTTCCAATATTTCCAGGTCTGCTAAAGTGGTGGTGATATTTTGGGTGGGCAACACTATTTCATAGAATCACAAAATCCTGGAGGTTGGAAGGGACCTTAATAGGTCATCTAGTTCAGCCTGCTCAAAGCAGGGTCAATACTGGTTGCTTGGGGATTTGTGCAGGGGAGTCCTGCAAACCGCCAGGGATGGTGACTGCACAACCCCACCAAGCCCCGTTCTGATGTCTGCCTGTGCTCAAAGGGGAAAACCTGGGCAATCCACCTAGTTAGTGACCTTGAGGAACTCTTCATGTAAGTCCACAATTTCCAGTCCTATCAGTGTGATTACAAACCAGGCGTCTACCCTTAAACACATACCAAAGTAAAATATTGACAGAATAGACAGAGTATTAACTAGCATTTTAAGGCTCACTGAGCTAAATCCACTCCTAAGAGTAACTTTGGAGGAATTGCCTGCATAGGTAAGTGACCAGTTTGAGCTACACTGTGCACAGGCACCCCATAAATAGCTGCCCTCCCTGGGACACAGACACCATTTTCAGAAGTGCTCCCTTCTTGAGGAAACACTTCCCAGAATGGCAGTGGTGCTGCAAGCACCGGCCTACTTCTGGCCACTCAGCTGATTTGCCATCAGCAAATACTTTCCTGTGAATGGGGTGTTCTACCTGCAAAGCTCTCAACATCACTCTGTAAAATGACAGTTTCCAAACTATATGTCAAGCTTTTTGCTACATTTCACAAAGTAGCACCAGAATGCTGCTCTCCATAAATATCACATGTGAGCAGCGCCTGGTGCTGTGGAGCTACAGCTACAAGTCCTTTGCAAGCAGTTCAATTTCATCCAGCAAGAAGTCCATGTCTTCTCGACTAACATGCGGGCTGATCACCACCTGGCGGAAGAAGTTGACTTTGCCCTGGTGAGGCTGGTACCCAAGCATCATGCTGCCCTTCTTCATCATCCTTTCTTTAATTATAGGAGCAACCTGAAAGTAGAGACCAAAAAAAAGGTTGATTTCACACACAAAAATAGAGCAGATTTAGGCAGGAACTGTATTTTGTGACTCTGAAGTTTTTTTGAAGTGTGTGAGTTTTGCACCCCTTGCCTGCCTTCCCACTACCTGCCCCAAGAAACAGTAAAGCTCAGACTTAAAGGTTTAGATGTAGGCTGTGCAGAGACCCTCAGGTTCTGGGACTCCTGGAAGAATCAGAGCAAGATCTCTCAAAAGCTTGCTGCTTGGGGCATTCATCTGCAACATGGGAAAGCTTGGGTTAAGGTCCCTAGTCTTCCTGGTTTAGATCAAAGGTTTGAACTCAGGAATAACATCAGCTGCAACTGGTAAAAGGCAGGGTTTCTCTCCTTGTGCTAACTAGACTAAGCCTGACTACTCACCCCTGATGGCCCTTCTCCTGCCACATCTGCAGAGCCATTCTCCCTAGAGAACACTCTCCATTGAACCCCTGTGAAACCTAAACTGCCGAAGTAGTGTGATGCAATGTTAAGGGAGAAGGCCTGATCCTGGAGCTTAAGATTTCATCTCTCAGATTCAAGGCATAAGTAGCATTTGGCTACACCACTCTTGTATGGAATGGGATAAAACCTAATAGGTGTCTCACAGCAGAAAAAAAATCCATGGGTAAGACTGGCAGAGTCAGGTCCTTATAGCTGAACACTTGATCTCATCCCAGCAGGGCTATTAACTTTGTCCAATTAATCCTGTGCTTAACTTTAAGCATGTGATTAGCTCCATATTCTCATGCTTGAAATCAGTCATAAACTGAAAAACATTGCTGGATTAAGTACTCTATTCCTTGGAAGACAGAATTCAACATAAATAAGTAATTTTACAGAAGTAGTAATTTTTTAAAATGTGTTGCATTTTAATATATTACTAATAACACTAACGTATTTCAGAATAGTGCGTTCCTTTACTTCCTTTTGTCACAGTCTGACTTTGAACTAAGTAAATAGGTATATGACCTAACCTTGGTTTCTGCATTAATTTATTTCAGCTCTAAAAGTTAGTGCCAGAAACTACCACCTGATCTGCAAAAGAAAAATGATGATGCCAACCTTGCCTTAATAGCTTTATTTTTGCATGGCACACTTTAGTAGGCAAGTCCCATACAATTTGCTTAGAAACAGCTAAGGTTTTCAACATTAACAGCTTAGCTTTCCCATATTTGTTTAGTGGTACATGTCTGAATTACCATTGTTTCAGAATGTAGATTCAATTCAGAGGAGGAATGTTTATGGTTCTAATTTAATTTGCCTCCCTGATTTTGGTTAATCTTTGTGACAAAGCTACGTGTTTGTTTTCTAAGCTATGAGAGTGACGGAGTCAGAATTCTAACTGAAGTCCAGAGTGTGACATCAGTACGAATTATGCACATAAAAGTACTGTGCAATTTCAGGTTTTTTTGTCTATTGCTGCAAGCAACAAACTAGAAATTAATTGTGAAATTAGTTCTGATAAACATTAGGGAAACAAGAAGAAAACAATGAGGACAGGAACACTCCGAATTACAGCAGAAATGTTAAGAGGCATACTGTGATACCCTCAGTCACATTCAATAGCACCTTTTCCCATAAAATTCATAAAATCTATTGCGGAGCTCCAGGTGTGCCTCCTGCATAAAGATCCTAATGAAAGCTACCAACGAAAGCACAGTTCTGCTGTGTATCTGCAATGCGTACATCGTTTAGAATTAGAGGTAATCAAATATATCTCTATGCCATCATCCATCTGGGTTTCTGTCTGCCTAGCAAATGATTCAAGGATTCCTCAGTTCTCTTGTCTTATAGCTCAGAATGACTTCAGACTAACTTCATTTAGTCCACACTCAAGAAAAAACTAAACACTGGATTTCTGCTCAGCTAGAGATGGTAGCTATTTTGCATGAGACAGACTTTTTCAACCTGAAAAGTATGTTACTCAGCAAACAATCTTCTTTGCTTCAGGTAAAATATTCCAAACCGCATCCTAACAAGCCACTGAGCGCAGTACTGTGCAGTGTCAGCACTCAGGCAAAATCTGGGTCTTACAACTGTCCTTGCACATTTTCCAGTGGTGGAGTCAAACAGGAAGACTTGGTTGGGAACACTCCTGATTATGTATGCCACTGTACATACCTGCAACACATCTTCTCTTAAATATTAAGTAACTTTGGCACGATAAAAATTTTCCTGCTTCTCCTACAGTTTGCTAGTGTTGCACCCTTGAACAGTACACAAGCCTACTAAGAGGTCTACGCTTCCATTATTCACGCCAGCTATGGCCTGAGATACCAGTAACACTGTGACATTGCTCAGAAGACATCACACCCAGGAGGCACTGTGCTGGACACCATATAGATACAGAAAAGAAAAAAATTCCTCCACCCCTGTACTTGAGAAGAACCACCAAGCGACTTCTACTCATGGAATATAGACACTACAAGTGCAAGGGGAGAAGTGAACTCTTCTTAATACACTTTCTCAAGCTCTTCTTTAAGATTCAAATCCCTGTGGCAACTTTTAGCCTTTATTGATGTTCCATCAGAATTATTTCATCTTTTGTATCACACTATTGATTCTCTTCATCTCAACGCCCAGTGCTCCACAATCCATCATCCCAAAATGTGCAGTTGCACAAATGGAGACCATGAAAGCAAAAACATTTAGAGCTTCAGTAATATGAGGACTGTAAATATACTGCATTTCAGGTCTTCTCTCATGAAAAGAAAAAAGAAAAATCTCATTTTCATTATCTCATTTATTAGCTCATTCATCCCCCATACTAATGAAGTTGTCCTCGATTTGAAGTGCATCCATCCCGTTTTGATGGCAAAACAAGCACTTCCTACTTAAAAGAAACAACAAAACACATAAAACTGTCTTATGGGCTTTTGAGAGGATTATTTTTGGAAAAGTTTTCCAAGAATTACTTTGCATGTTGTACCTGTTTGTGGGATGCAATCAGTGTAACAAAACTATCAGGGTCCCTATCCACAGAAAACAGGAAGGAACAAAATATATGCACAAATGCTTAAGTACATGTCTCACAAAAGAACCATTAAAGGATACATGCATGCTAAGGCTTGAACTTGGGGATCACAGGGTATGACTGCTAACTGAAAGTAAAGGCAGCTACCACTTTGCAGCAGAAAAATTAGACCTATAAGGAACTAATTGCCTAGTGAGGAGTTCAATGAGTTTAATTCCCATCAAAGTCAATGAAACCTGAGGATGCTCAAATATCAGAAGTAGCTGCACAGCCCCATTCAGATAGGCTTCTCAGAAAGCAATTTAGTGAGAGTGAGATTGCTTCACCAGTCCAATTATTTTAGTACAGAACTTACTTCAAATTGTAAATGTAATTCTTTATGTTACCCGTCAGTGGAACAGCCTCAGAATTTTAAGTGTAACGTATCCTAAAACTGAAGTCCTCTTCTTTGCTCTCTTCACCACTTCCTTCCCATCGCTGGCCTCCCCTGCCAATCCACCCTGGAGATTATTATTTCAAATGCTCACTTCAGCAGCATATTAATTATCAGACATGCCCTTCTTCCACCTAGGAAGATGGAGAGAAGGTGCAGTGCATGAAAAGCCATCCTACAGCAGAACTGCACATTGCACTGTGCAACCAGAGGCCCAGGGAGCTGCTTTGCCTGAGGACTGATGGGTGCATCACAGTTTCCCCATGCAAACCTACACTGAGTCTGTTTTCTACATTTTTAAAAGAAGTATTTAGAATATTTGTGTCAAAACACTGTTTTCAATTAAATCTTAAATTAAATTGGAAATTGACCCATTGTTATTGCAGAAAGTAGAAAAGGACTGAGGAAACCAACACTGAGCAAACTGCTTCATTTTAATTTGTCTGAAAACAAAAATTCCTTCTTGTTAACTAAAACCAAGAATTGCTTCCAGTTTCTTAATTCAATGGCCAAACCAAAAAATCCATTATTTGTCCAGCCATAAATATGTGGGATCAAAAGTGATGACACTGCTTAACTGAAACATCTGTAGAATTTCTGGCCCCCAGAAAAGACAGAAAGTATGAGAAAATTCATGGGACTGCCTGTTCTGTCAGCAAAATGTGGCTGGGAATCTCAGGTGAACAGCCTCGAGCAGTGTGGATGACTAAATGTGCTACCCCAGCAAGTGCTACAAAGTCAGAATGTCTGTAAAAACTGGTGTTAATACTGGCAATTGCTTGCAGAAACATTTTTTCCAAATATTTTGGACAGTCCCCAGGTCACTGAGCATCTATGCAACATAAAGCTGAAGAGCTATTCCAGCTGCTGGCAGCAGCAACTCCTAGCCACCAGACCCCATTCTGCTCCTCCTGAAATTAATTTCAAAATTGCCATGGACTTCAGTGGAAGCAAAATGCAATTATCTAAATTTCCTCCTTATGTGTCTGCTTCAGGTGGTAGTTTCAAACAGCCTTCAGCTTTTACTAGAGAAAGCCACACTCGCAGTAAATCGATAACCTTTCTAGGGATCCACAAAAGAAGGCTAGACAGTGTTGGAAGGACAGGAGCATATTAGCAGCTCAAACTATTTCTCTTCCTCAAACACAGCCCTGATGAAATTTTCCGAGGTAGTGAATACTGCACTAGAAATTGGCCAAAGAACTGTATCTAGAAGACAAAAAAATTGCCCTTTTGACAAAATGGAAAGATCACATTCTCATGATTTCACAAAAATGGAAAACACATTTTGTGTTCTTGCCTCAATTATTGCTTGCAGTGAAAACCAATTTTATACAGAAGAGTCCCCTCTCATCTGACCACAAAAATCTATTTTAGCCACCTCAGTAGGGGCAAATTCTCATTTGGAAGTTCGTGATTGTTACTTAAAAGGCAACTTATTGGCTATTCAAATTCTGACAAGTTACGCTTCCTGCTAGAAATGACCAGTTCAGATTCATGTATATTCATAAGAAAACAACTATTGTACAGAATTGCCACCAAAAAAGTAAACAAACCCCCAATTCAG